CGACTCTGAGGATCCCCGATTTTGACCCACCCGATTTTAAATCGGGTGAGTTCACCCGAATTCGGGCGGGTCGTTGCAAAATCGGGTCTAAAATCGGGTGGGTGACCCGATTTTGGCCACCCGATTTTAGACCCGATTTTAGACCCGATTTTGCTTTTGCAACTAAAACCCTCTTTAGACATTCAGGCGCATAAGCTCTACGAATTTGGACATTCTAAAACACCAGGTCAGACCGCGCTGGCACGCTTGAACGACATGCACGAAAAGGAGTCGAGCGGAATGAAAAGATTTGCGCAAAGTACGGTCCAGTACTTGGGTCAGGCACGTATAGGTTTAGCAGCTTGAGATGGAACCCTGAGCGAGCGAGTAAATATATTGTTTGAGTTCATGTTTTTTCAATACAAATAAATGTACGTAGTGTACACGTACGTGTACACATCAGAATAAGAAAAATGAGGGTAAAAAAAAGGTAAAAAGTTTACCCTGATTTTACCCTGACTTTACCATGGTAAAATCGACACCATTTTACCCTGATTTTACCCTAATATGTATGTGCTCGATCGCTCGATATTAATAATAAATAAATAAACAAATAAATAATAATTATTATTAATATCATAGCTTGCCCTACACGTACCTTCGTACTTCCGGAAGTGCTTGACAGTACACCAGAGTTCGAAAGAGGAGTGCGCCGCCGTCACACGCACCTCGCCGGAGATATAATGCTCGATTCCAAATCTCTCGTGAGTGACATGAATCGACGTCAACAAACTACGCGCGGAGAAGCGACGACGAGCGTCGTCGTTCGCGGGCCAGTTGCTGCCTTCGGCGCTTGCCACAAGTGCGGAGCGAAATTGTCACGAAGAAGCGCCTACGACGCCTGCCTGTGCACGCGTTGCGGCACGCGCTACCACGCCGGGGACTGCGGTTCGCGGCTTCAAAGCGCGGGCTACCCGGTTTCCGACCGTTGCTCAAAAGTGCGATGCCCGAGCGAACCATTTGTTGAAGATCGTACGTAACCTGACTGAGCGAGGAAAGCATGTTTTGGCGTTCGAAAATCAGTATTGCACACGAACACGCGGTTTGCTTTCCTTCGCCTTTCGCGAAATCCAATCGAACTTCTCACGAATGAACGCGCGCTATTGCTAACGCAACACGCTTCTTGTGCCGTGAAAGACAGTGCTCGTGTCTGTGTCTTTGCACCGGGGGTTCGATCGTATGTCACGCAGGCGCTGCTCGAAAGCGACGATGTTCACGCCTGGTAGCCAGCCCTGAAGAAACCGAAGAACGGGCGGAAATCAAAACAAGACCCGCGTGCGAACATCTCTCGAAAGCCGTTGCCGTTTCTGCCGCCGCCGCTGCTACTACTAGTGTCACTGCCCGCGACAGGGCGACGAAAACCAAAGACGTCTTATCGCGAAATAAAAGTTCGCCTCGCAAATCCTCTTGCACCGTAGACGAGGGCACCGTGCATGCAGTGTCCGCTCGAGTCGCCCGGGCGCTCGCGCACACCTCATTTCTTACGGGTTCTCTGGCCATCCTGTACGAGTCCCTCGTCAAGCGCGAACTCGGCCGACGAGACGAACGCAGTGGCGAGGCTGACCAAGCGCAGCTCCTCAGCGTGGACAGCGAAGATGCCGCTAAGCAGAAGAACGCGTCGTTGATTCGGGACGCTTTAAGAATAGAGCAGGCGAACGAATCGCTCGCAGAAACGCTCGCGCAAACGTTCGCGTCGATCATGGACCAAAGTTAGTGGTGAATTCCTGGCAGTGGCCTCGGATTCGGGGAGGCGCGAATATGAAGCTGTGAATTTGGGCGGCACGCACTGGTACCAATTTGGGTTTTTTTGTCCCCGATTTGCGTTTTTTTCGTCGCCAGTTCGGGTTTTCACTGTGATTTTGAGGTGTTTTCGCACAGCTCAAAAACACTTCGCAGTTCCGTGATATTTGAGTCAGCATGGATCACGGAGGTCTATGAAGTCTGGGTCGCTACGCTCCAGACACGTCCCGAAAGTCTCGTGATTTCCGTAAGGGTTCTAGGTCTTCTTACTCGAGTTGAGCAAAAATGTTAGGTTACGGACGGGTCCGAAGGTTACGGATCGCGCCGAAGGCGCGATCCGTAAGGCGCGATCCGTAAGTTCGAGCGCACACCGAAAAATCGAGCGCGCCCCGAAAAAGCAACGACAAAATCGCTCGCGCATTGTGTGCCCCGCGCGCGCGTTTCGGCGGCGCGCGCCTCCCCGCTTCCACCCTCCCGTACGACCGCCATGCATGCCACCAGCACGACCACCATCGACGCGAAGAAGCGCGTCGCGACGCTGTGGAAGGAGTTCATTGCCTCGGACTACGTCAAGGACAAGGTCGATGGCGCGCCTTTTCTGAGAAACCTCGCAGCCATCGACAAGATGGACTCCGTGGGGTCTCTGTGCGTCCAGGACATCTACGAGCACTTCGCGGAGTGGATGACGTGCATCTACCTGAGCAGAGACAAGAAGCCGCTAGGCCCGGGGACCCTGGACTCGTACTTCGGCTACCTGATGGTCCAGGCGAGGGCTCGCGCGTTGGAAATCGCGCGAGGAGAGATTCAGGTGACGAAGGCTTCGAACTTCTTCTCATGCAGCTCCGGCGACACGAACGTGATGACGGACGAGGTCAGGTGGTTTCGCGGGGTGAAGCACAACATGCGCCGTAAGTCGATCGCGCGTCTCACCGAGAAAGGGGAGGCGATCGACAACAGCGCGGACCCGCTGTACGCGGCGGACATCGCGAAGATCAACGAGACGTACGCGCGCGTCGGCGGTGCCGAGTCGGCGGTGAGGTCGTGTCTCCTCATCGCGACATGGCAGACTGCCGGGAGGACCACGGAGTGCGTCTACCTGAGCTACGACAACATGTTCTGGGACAGGCAGTTCTGCTGCATCGAGGTCGAGATCGTTCAGTACAAGACCTCCAAGGTGAAGCGACTACCGCTGGTGGCGTCGGCGAACCACCACATGTGCTTCTTCACGCGCCTCGGCGACATGCTCGCGCTTGAGCGCACGGTCTCGTACCGCCCCGACGACATGGGCTCGTGGCTGTTCCCGAAGTTCCAGTCGAAAGACCAAGCAGGCGCGGCCATCAACAGGATCCTCAAGGACGTGGATGTGCGCCAGGAAAACGCGAAGCACAAGGTGGAGGCGAAGGCGTCCAAGTTGGAGTTCGCCGCGAACGCGACGGTTGTTGGCGCCAGTGTGCGCCCCGGGGCAATCAGCACGCTGTACGCGGACATCCCCGCGAACCAGGTCGTCTGCACGTCGGGGCACGACATGTCGGGCGACAGCAAGATGTTCGGGTACGTCGACGTGAACGTGGCTACGTGCATGCCAGGGGCGACGGTTCTGGCGGGCTGGCCGTCGCCAGGGTATGGGAAACCCACGAAGGGTCCGCGCCCGGCGTCGGTCGATGCGCTCGCCCATCAGGGCGCGGACATGAAGCTCGTGGATGACATCGTCGACGAGGTCTTCGACCTCGATCCCGCACATCCGCCGATGTTGTTGAGGGCCGAGGTGCGGCGTGCCGGGGACGGGGAGTTCGTGAACCCCGGCGGCACGCCGGGCGCGCTGCGCCCGGCGGTACTTTGCGCATTCGCGTCCCTCGTGATGCACTACGAGGAGCGCAGCAAGAACGGTTTCTTCCTCCCCGTGCAGGTGAAACTCGAGACGGCCGTTTCCAAGGCGTTTTCCGGGCGTTCGTCGCACGCGAAGTTGACGGAGTGGGGCAACGCGATCCGCGACGCCTTCGTGGCCGACAACATCCACCTGTCCGCGTACCACGAGACGGAAGGCACGGCGCGCATTGTGAGCATGCTGCAGAGTCTCGCGCGGCAGCAGGGGCAGGTGGCGCAGAACCAGCGCGCGCTCGAGAACGCGCTCGAGAGCGCGCTCCGCGCGCTCCCGGGTGCCATTGGGGCGAGGATGGAGGAGCATGTGGCGGAGCTCGGCTCCCGCGTGGAGAACGCACTCCAGCTGACGCCGACGACGCGCCGCCGTCGCGTGGCGCAGGACGATGGCGGTGAGGAGGACAACATGATCGTGGACGGCGAAGGCGAGGGTGATGGCGGGAACACCGCGTTGGCGATGGTGCCGGTGCACGACGGCGTCACCTCGGGTGCCGACGAAGATGGCCATGGCGCCATCGTCGCGGTGGCGGGTGACGTGGAGACGGACGACGCGGCGGGCTTGCATCTCCATCGGACGCACCCGACCCAGTTCAACGCACCTGTCGTGTGCGCAGCACGGGACCTCAACGAGCTTTTTCGCATGTACATGGAGGCCGGTGCCCCGGAGCTGAGTACCTACGCGCCGTTCGGGAGGAATCCGCAGATGAACTCCGACGCTCGTCATGGCCTTGGACTCCTTTACGAGATGGCCACGTCCGAGGAGAGGGAGAAGCTCAAGAAGAAGGAGGAGACCCGCGTGAAGCGCATGGATCTCGTAGATGATCTAGTCGTGCTGGCGCGAGCGTGGTGGGCCGCGCTGCTCAAGGGACAGGAGCTGTCTCCGCCCAACTCGTGCGCGAAGCCGAAGCCCGGTTCGCGGCCTGAACCAGCGGGGCTGTTCTGGGCTGCGAACCTGCGAAAGAAGTTCAAGAAGGACCTGCCGAAGGACCTCAGCGCGCGTGCGAAGCACATGGACATGCGGAAGTGCGGGGTGGCGGCCTGGCGCCGGGCGTGGGAGGCGGAGAAGGCTCAAAAGCAGTACCCGTCCCAGTGCAAGTACCCGGCGGCGGAGGCCCCATGGGAGATCGCTGATGCCGAGGCCAAGGCGGCCGCGGAGGGCGCGGCGGAGGCGAAGGTGACCATTTTTGGCGCTCTTTTTGGCAGGCGCGACAGCACCGGCGCGTGAGGCGCTCGAGCGCGTGTAAATACTCGTGATGTTACAGTCAAGAATCGGCGACGCGCGCGCCGCGCGACCCGCTCCCCTCGCGGCCCATGGCGCAGAAAAATAACGCCTGCGGCGCGCGCGCGGTGAAAAAAAAATCGCAAATTTCGCTATCTCCGAAAATCGTATGTGAATCAGTCAGAAAACGGCGTCTGGGGGCGAAAATCGTACGGCAGCCAGTCACGTTACGGATCCGTTTTTCGAGGTTACGGATCGTAAGGATCCGTAACTTGTATCTAATTCTTCATAAACTTATCTGACTCACACTTTTCCTTAAACCAGACGTGTCTTGAACGATACGTGCTCATTAAATCGGGCTGTAAAAGTTGCGTGACGTTGCTCTGTAACTTGTATCTAATTCTTCATAAACTTATCTGACTCACACTTTTCCTTAAACCAGACGTGTCTTGAACGATACGTGCTCATTAAATCGGGCTGTAAAAGTTGCGTGACGTTGCTCTGGAGGAGTCCAAATTTCTTGGCTAACGGCACAAACGCACTCTTTCCGCCATTGAAATGAACCAAAAAAGGTCGTGTCTCAGACTCAGAGTTCACTACCCTACCGATGCCTGCATTGAAATATGCATTCATTGGCACGGGCTCATCAAATGTCCCAGCCCCTTCTAAACTTGTCAGATGACCCGTCTGGAACATTTTGCTCGCATGGTCTATTACTAACTCAAACAGTTCGTGCCTACCTTCTCTGACTTGCTTGGAATACAACTCTTGAAAAACGAGTTGGTCGTCACTGACGTTCGACGGTATACCTGCGTGGAGCGTTTTCAAAAAAGCTCGCATCGGTTTGATAGCACCTGCATACGCACCCGCATTCAAGAAACGAAAACTCGAATTTCTATGAGGGAATTCTTCACACTTTTCTCGCCCCCCTGCAGTCAACTCCTTATCATAGTGAACAAAGGGCCAACAGTTCCGTTCTCCAGAGATAAGTATGATACCTCTTTCCAATGGTCCCAAGAGTTGTTGCAGGGTATGGAGAGCTTCATCACGTGAGCCAAGATACAAAACATCGCTGGCGTCGGCGAAAACTAAGACGGTTTCATCACCAAGTCCGTAACGCTCTAGAGCACGTCGATCCGAAAGAAAAGACTTCATTCCGTACAACTTCTTCAACTTCGGTTCGTGAACATCTCCAACGTAGGTATCATTTATGCCCAGAACGTGGAGGAGAAATCCATTAGAAGCGGCTGAGAGCATTGACAAGCACAGTCCCGTAGTCACACGATCGGAATACGTGAAAAAAACAAGTTTATTCTGCAGACGTGAAGGGAATTGCTCAGAATCATTCTGTTTAATATTTGGGTATAATCGATATTCCATTTCTTGATCTACGTCCCTTTGAGCACTTATCTGTCGATTAAATAAAAGAGATACCATTACAAGCGCGCATAAAGTCGCGAGCGCAGCAAGCACGATTTTGCAAGGTGTGCGAATTAGTGCTTTTCGCGGGTTGAAGGTGCGAAAACCTAAGGGACGACCGTGACGCATCCCGCGAGTTGTGCGACTGTTCACTGTGTGTTCGTGCTTACGGAAATACTTCCGGAAATGCCTTCGAAAAACGACATATTTTTCGGGGTTGTCACTTGCCAGTGCGCTATGCAGCAATGTGCGTTTGACCAAGGGCTTTCACTCATTTCGCTCGTCACATCGAACCGGTGGAGCAGAGTTTGAAGATAGACTACATACATACACGTAGATAGTCTACAGTATGTACGAAAGTACGTAGTATTGTACTTTCGTACGAAGGTACGAAGGTACGAAAGTACGAAACTTTCGAAAGTACTTTCGTACCTTCGAAGGTACCTTCGAAGGTACTTTCGAGAGTACTTTCGTTCGTACCTTCACGTACGTACTTTCGTACGAAAGTACGAAAGTACGAAAGTACGAAAGTACGAAAGTACGAAAGTACGAAAGTACCTTCGAAAGTACTTTCGTACTATTTTCGAGTACGAACGAAAGTACGAAAGTACTTTCGAAAGTACCGAAGATAGATACGAAAGTACTTTCGTACGAAGGTACGAAAGTACTTTCGTACGAAGGTACGCAAGAGCCTCGTACCTTCAGGTACAGTACACGACTTGTACACGTAGTTGTAGATATTACTTCCAGAAGTACTATCCGTACTGTACATACAACGTTGTACGGAAAGTACCTTCGAAGGTACTTTCGTACTTTCGTACGAAGGTAGTTTGGAACTAACGTGCACGGCGCAGTGTTTCACGTTCATCCCTCTCGTCATCGAGTTGTACGGGGGCATCGGCCGCGACTTCCTGAAATTCATGGGGGACATCATCACGGCTCACGCACAGGGCCGGGGGCGTGAAGGAAACCCCCGCGCGGCGCGCGACCGTGAGATGCGCAGAGTCGCGGTGGGCGTCGAGGAATACCCGCCGAACCCGTGCGCCGCTGACGCGCTCATCGACTGGGAGAGGCGGATCTCGGTGGCGCTCATGCGAAGCGTGGGATGCCGGCTGCTGGGCGGAGGGGTTGATTTCTTATTCGCGAAGGAAGGGGGCAATGACCGGGGTGTACGTGAGAACGACGAGACTGAAGGTCTTGGGGAGGTGCCCGATTTGGGCGGCGTGATCGTGTACAGGTAGTTGTTTTTTGCCTTAGCGAGCAGATTTCTAGGGCTGCACGTCACGGAGACTTGAAATAACACACACACGTTTGGAAACTCTGCGTGCTTCTTGTGCGTAGTGTAGATAGAACCTGACGTTCGATCTTTATCGTCGGAAATACAGAAGCAACCACCGAAGAAGATGTCGACGTTATGGAAACAAGTCAAAGAGGCGGCCGCCCTGTTCTCTCACGTGTACTCGTCGAACCCGCTTCCGAAGCTCAATCGGAACATGACGTTTTTCGCCGTCTTTGGTTGTCTCTTTTTTAACGTGGGCTTTGCTCAGCGAGAGCACGGTCACGATCTTGAAGGAGAACGCGAAACCGAGCTTGTGCACGTCGATGAAGTCGACGTTCTCGTGTAAAACCTCCGATGGGACCTCGTGCAGTGTGACTGCGGCGAACTGCGTTGGGCATGTGTCTGAAGTACTCGCCTGGCACGACGCGAGCAGGTGTTTCGAATTTGAGGAATCCACGTTCCCGTGCAAACTATCTGATGGCTCGATCCAGGCTGATAGACAAAATTATGATGATGGAGGCGCTAATGTAGGCGCTTTAATAATTTACTGTTACGGCGGTCTTAATACGTACGCCACCTGTCAAGGCACCATCAAGACCCCCGTCAACTTCGAATCCTGCACGGGCTTCGTCAACGAGAACCTCATCTCCATCCGCATCGCCCAGGCGCTCGCGTACTCGAGCACGCTCATCAGCATTCTCAGCGCCGTGTACGAGTTCTTCGCCAAGCGCGAGCTCCGCAAACAGGCGCGCGAGCGCGCAGAGAACGGCGACGACGCGCAAATCACGCTCGACATCGAAGCGGCTCCCGCGCAGATTGCGTTGCTTCAGTTGGAAGTCGGGACTCAAAAGAAAACAATCGACATCTTGAAGAAAGCGTTTGATGCCTCGAAGAAGGCATTTCAGAAACAAGTGGACGAGCTCCGGCAGCTCCTCATGTCACGGAGACGAGCGCCTTCAATATTGCCCGTGTAAGATTTCTAGATTTCGGAAGGGCTTAACCATTTTCTAAGGTATTTAATCAAAGCACCGTACTGCCACGCGTCAGCTCGTCACTTGCATTTCAGAAGACGCGCACGCTGTGCCCGGCGTCTAGGAACGGCGCCACGACGTTCTCGCGTATACTGCAGTGCGTAAGATTTAGAGATCGCGCTTCGCCGTGCATCAGAAGCGCGACGCGCTTTGGTTGCGCGCACTTTACCTGAGATGAGCAGGCTTCGGCAGCAAGGTTCCAAATTAAATTGAGAGTAAGACCCGCAAACGAATACGCGAACACTCTGACGAACACGCGGGGACTCGCAAGAGGTCGACGCGCGATTCGTGCCGAATTCACGTTTCGCGCGGCAATATCTGTATGTCTATCTGCCTTCCATCGTTCGATGGCAGTACCTGAGCATCACCCCAGACCCCGACTTCCGTCATTTTCGTCTATTTTGGTCAAATCCCGTAAACCCCGAAGAGGACGTAAGTCTTTCAAGCTCTCCGATCAAGGGGGTGTCTCAATATGCCTACAAATATATGGTGATAGTAACATGAAAGCCTGAGAATTGAACTCGCATATCGACGCGAGCGAGGTACCTTCGTACTTTCGTGCAGATGTGTGCTGTTGGCGCCACCGGGTGACTCTTGTACAGTATATGCTATTGGCCCTACCTGTGTTCCGCACGATGTATCTTGCTATGTTCTTAGGAAAAGTTCATCACAACACGTGTGTAGCCCCGGTACTGAGCGAGTGCCTTCACCTTCGACCATATAAATAATTGAAAATATTATAGACTTTTGTTGGCAGTGCACAGAACCACACATACACTGCCGCAGATCGAATCATTTTTATGTGCTCAGAAGTGGCTTGACGTCCACTAAGGCGACAGCGACCTCTTTGTGAACAGATGCACGGATGTCACCGTCAAGCATATTCCAGCTAAAGCATTTGAAGACATCGTTTCGATACCTAGGGAACATGAGACTATAGCAACTAGACAAATTGACGCAGAAATAGCGTAACACTTCATTATTGAGCTTGCGAATTTCACGACGGCGGCTACTATTAGCCCTCCTACAGCCTGGAGAAATATCACCGAGTATATGACGACATCAAAACCATGAAAAAACCCCGTCGTTTTATACAGTTGGAAATCTTGTAGCAGTCCTGCAAGCAAAGCTAGTGGCAAAGAAAATAAACCTAGCTGGATGTTCTGTTCAAACAGCGTAAAGTCGCCATCTCTCGCCTTGAGTAGCCTTTCCATATATACACTAGCGAAACCGGATATTCCTGAGGAGCAAAAAACCGCAGCGAAACCTGTCACTTGAGAAGATTTTTTCCCGACAAGATTGGCGTCACTTACAGGAGTGGATTCAGGTAGCTGCAGGGATATCATCGCTGCCGTGAGAAGGAACACCGCCACGATCTGTCGAATCGTCAACTTCACGTTCAAGAAGGTGACACTGAAAAACACAGTCGCTAGTACCTTAGTCTGCGAACACGCCACGTACACTGTTGGAGTTAAATGCTGCACGGCTACAAACAAGATGTTATTTTGAACGACATACAAAAGCGACGGAAGAGCCATGCGATGGTCAAAAATCCGAGTTAAATATTTGAAAGTCATTCCTGGGCTTTTCCTAGTGAAAATCGATATCGCGCAGCAAACGCAAAACTTGAAAGCTTCAGCGCACAAAACAACAACAGAAACATGGAAGCTTTTCGCCGTATCACGGAATGCTAATTTCATCGCGAAAACCAGAGCGGTGTTCTGTACGACCAACGCCACAAGGGCCACTATAGATGGTACAACAGACATATCTGTTTTCGTCGCGTTAACGGCGCTCAGGTAGAAGAAATATGGCGTGCATGAAGCTGAAAACTGCTGAAATCTCCGCGTCGCTGCGAACACTTTTTAAGTTCGCAGTGAAAGACCCTGATGACCCTGCTGAAGTGTGCTTCTGTTCGTAAAATAAGTTGCGTGTGCTCTACACGTACGTGTACACGTACTCGTAATTTATCTTTAGTCTGTACCAGGGGTTATAACTTTCTAAAATTGCGACACTAAATAAATACATGAGATACATGCATGAGTACAGTACTAGTTTGTACAACGTTGTACTTTCGTACTTTTGATGAAAAAATAAGTACGAAAGTACTTTGAAAGTACTTATTATTAGTGAGTATGACAAAGCAGGCCAAAGTAGTTAATAACTCGAGCGTACTTATTTAAAAATAACTTCCGAAATAACTACCTGTCGCGCGCGCGGCTCGTGATGCGCCGCGCTGGCTGAGCCGGAAGAAGAAACGACTGAAACCCGACATGCCCTGGACCAGGACGCCGACGAAGAGACACCTCCGGTGTCGAACACGTGGGAACGTTGTCTCAATGCCGCTTCTAAAGCGCCGAACGTGAGCGTGTTCGAAAGGCACACCCTCGACAACAAGGTATTCAACAAGCCGGTCTTCTCTGCGAACACGATCAAAGAAGTCAAGACTGGTGAACCTCAAAAACCTCGCGCTGATATCATATTGAACGCGTTAACCAATCCCACCCCGACGTCAAACATTTGTGGACCAGAGAGTGCGGCGCTAAAAAAGATCCGAAAGAAATTACTGACGACAACTAGACTATTTTCTGCGCGATGCATCTTGCGGACAACCCTAAACTGAAAAATAATAAAGTGTTCGCTTGTCTCTGACACAAAGGAATATCTGTGTACAACACCATGGCGCTAGGTGGGCATCTTCACCTCGAAAGAAGCGTTGGGCCCACATTTATTGGCATCGTCGCTTGTCTGACGAGTATTGAGTGATCAGTGCTGTGAGAATGCCCGCGCCATATAGGAACAGTTCCATTCGCGCCCACCCGACTTGTTGGCGGGCCGCGGGGTGTCCTTTCATGCCCGTTAGGCCGCCGGCAGGGCCGGAGGCGCATGCGCGCGGAGGCCCTGAAGTTATTTCGGAAGTTATTTTTAAATAAGTACGCTCGAGTTATTAACTACTTTGGCCTGCTCTGTCATAGTTGTAGTCAGTCAGCCAAGAAATGAATAAATAAGTAATACTTTCGTACTTAAGTAACTATTTTTTCCAATAGTGATGAGTAAATGAGTAAAGGTTTTCCCGACTTATACTAGGGCCTATGAGCAACTAATAAATAAGTATTTTTTTCACGAGTAAAGCTACATGAGTACGTTGTAGATAAACAACTAAATTAGCCCTCCGTACACTACGAAGGTAGTACGTACACAGTACACAGTTCTGTACGTACAGTACTGCACGTACAGAGGCCGCGACCGAGGCCACGATCTCCGCCATCGCGAGGAGCAAAAGCTATTGGAAACGACGCATCATGGGCCACATCTCCGTCGCGCTCGTGTCCGCCATCGGGGACCGCATCGCTGGCGCGCCCATCTCGTACGCGCTCAGAACCGCGCGCGACTCTGAAAACTTCCATGCGGGCGCGGCGGCGCAAATCCTTTTTATGGAGCCCGACACAGCTGGCGATTTCCACGTCGCCCCGGCTCCGTGCGCTCGTGAGGCTCACATGGGTTTCATGAATCCCGTCAAGGGGTTGCTTACTGCGTGAGAGGATTGTTCGTAGTGTGGTCTGCTCGCATCTAGATCACATGTTTTGCCCGGATGGGTTATAGCTCAGTCTTTTTGTAATCAGACACTACTATACTTGTAACAAAATACTCTAGGGCTATTTTATACAGTAGCTCTATCTACAACGTTGTACTCACTTGGGAATATTTCTTTGAGTAAATTACAACTTTCTAAAATTGCGACACTAAATAAATACATGAGATACATGCATGAGTACTGTACTAGTTTGTACTTTCGTACTTTTGATGAAAAAATAAGTACGAAAGTACTTTGAAAGTACTTATTATTAGTGAGTAGTTGTAGTCAGTCAGCCAAGAAATGAATAAATAAGTAATACTTTCGTACTTAAGTAAAACTATTTTTTCCAATAGTGATGAGTAAATGAGTAAAGGTTTTCCCGACATACTATGAGCAACTAATAAATAAGTATTTTTTTCACGAGTAAAGCTACATGAGTACGTTGTAGATAAACAACTAAATTAGCCCTCCGTACACTACGAAGGTAGTACGTACACAGTACATAGTTCTGTACGTACAGTACTGCACGTACAGAGGCCGCGACCGAGGCCACGATCTCCGCCATCGCGAGGAGCAAAAGCTATTGGAAACGACGCACCATGGGCCACATCTCCGTCGCGCTCGTGTCCGCCATCGGGGACCGCATCGCTGGCGCGCCCATCTCGTACGCGCTCAGAACCGCGCGCGACTCTGAAAACTTCCATGCGGGCGCGGCGGCGCAAATCCTTTTTATGGAGCCCGACACAGCTGGCGATTTCCACGTCGCCCCGGCTCCGTGCGCTCGTGAGGCTCACATGGGTTTCATGAATCCCGTCAAGGGGTTGCTTACTGCGTGAGAGGATTGTTCGTAGTGTGGTCTGCTCGCATCTAGATCACATGTTTTGCCCGGATGGGTTATAGCTCAGTCTTTTTGTAATCAGACACTACTACAACGTTGTACACGTACGTACAGAGACAGTACTGCACGTGTAGAACGTCGTAGTCGCAGCTTCTCGTAGGTGGACAACTTGACGTGTCCTTCGCCTGCGAGATCTCTGATGAAGTCGTTCGAAAGTCGCCTACCCCGACGAAAATCGCCGTATACTCGAGCGTTTATCGTGCTCGCTATCGCGCTAATCGGTTTTATGGCTTTATTCGGAGTTGAGAGCCCCAAGCTTGCACCTTCACGTCCTCAGCCCCAGTCGTCTGCAACGAAGCGCGCGTGCGTGGGGTTGGCCGAGAGCAGGTTGCTATCCTTCACCGAAGCGACGACAGGAGCATGTCGAGACAGCGAAAGGCAGCGGGCGTGTCAGGACGTCCTTGTTGATATGCGAGTTCAAAACTCAGGCTTTCATGTTACGATCACCATTTTCTAGGTATAATAGTGAGAAGGAGTGTTGTTGATAGCGGTTCCGGACGGAAGTACACGTACAGATGTACACGTACACGTACACGTACAGTACGAAGCTAGCGTAGTAGTAGTCAAAAAGTTGTTTATTAAAGCGTTTATTTTGAGAATTCCTGATATCATGATTACACGTACACGTGTACTGTACGTACGTGTACGTGTACCTGCTGTACGTGTACGAGTGCACGTGTAGGGCCCGCAAGTTTGTGCCCAGGTCGCGGTAACCATGAACTCGCTCCGGGGTGAAGGCGCGATCGCGTGGCACACGGTGATCCCCTTCTCGAAGGCCGGGGAGCTCTCCACCGCTCACGTGCGGAACCAAGTCCGCCTCGAGCTCGGCCTCACCCCTGCTGCCATCAAGACCCTCGTCGACAAGAAGCTCGCGTGCCACCACGCCGAGTGCGGCCACGCCACGTTCACACACAACGCCGTCCACCACATCCTCAACCACAAGGAAGGCAACGCTGGCGGCAACAGGGTCCGCACCCACGACCGCGTGGTGCGGACCGTCGCACAGCTGTGTAAAGACGTCGGCCTCGCCGCCGAGACGAAAGGCCTCCGGGGACTCCTCCCTTCCAACCCCGGGCGAGGCGGACGGCACGACTGCGCGAAAACCGCCGACATCAGCATCATGGGACTTAACGCCTCGGTGAACAGGATCCTCGGTGACGTCGTCGTCCCCCACCCGTTCACCGGTGACGGGCGCGCGAAATACAACGGCCAGCGCGCTGATGGGACCCGCTCACCGGCGGACATCCAACCGGGCGAGTACGCGCTCGAGGCGGAGAAGAAGAAGCTCGACTGGAACGGCAACATCCCCGAGGGCCGCGGCTTCAGCCTCGTGCCCATGGCCATCGACACGTACGGTTTCAAGGCGCCGCGCTTCCGCAAGTTCCTTAACCAGCTCGCCGAGCACGGTGCGAGCCGAACTGTCCCCACCGGCGACTCCGCCTCCGACGCCGCGGCCGAGGCCACGCTCTCCGCCATCGCGAGGAGCAAAAGCTACTGGAAACGACGCATCATGGGCCACATCTCCGTCGCGCTCGTCTCCGACCTCGGGAACGTAGCATTGCTGGCGCACCCATCTCGTACGCGCTCAGAACCGCGCGCGACTCTGAAAACTTCCACGCGGGCGCGGCAGCGCAAATCCTCTTCATGGAGCCCGACACGGCCTGCGACTTCCGCGTCGGGGGTCTCCCCCCGGCCCGCCCGGTTTCTGGAACGCCTTCGTCAAGGAACGCAACAACATGCACAAGAAGCGGCTCAACGCCTTTATCTCGCTCGGTGCAGTTGACGAGCGAACCTGACACGGCCGGCGACCTCCTCCTCCGCCTCCCCGCCCCGGCACCGCGAGCTCGCGACGCTCAGACCGGCCTCGGAGATGACATCGGGGGATTGCTCACCGCGTGAGGGGATTGCTCGTAGGGAGAGAGGTTTGCTCGTACACGTACTCCTTCACATGTTTGCCCGGATGGGATAGAGCTCAGTTTTCTTTGTAATCCTTGTACTTACACGTGTAGGGCCTACGTGTACAGTGGCCCTACAGTATCTGTATGTAAGTGATGCCTCCTCGAAAAAAAACAGCTCTTCTCAGCGCGCCGCGCGGGCGTCTCCCGGACCTGCGCCGCTGAGGCATCACATTGCCTGTATGCCCGCATGCGCGTGTCAATGGCCATTAATAACCATTCGCGTTCCGTGGGGGCGCGTCGCGTGCCAGCGCGCGCGTCTATCGCGCGCGGAAGTGCCGTCCACTGACCAATCAGAAGCCGGCAGCCGTGAATGCACTTCACAACGTCGCCTCCGAAAGATAACGCTCACCGGATTGTTCGCAGAACAGCGATTATTCTTTAGACACACGTGTACACGTACTGTACACGTACACGTACAGTGCACGTACAGTAGTGTATGTTGGGTGAAACCTCTGTAAATTTTGTATTTGGGACCTTTTATTCTTTGAAAGTACGAGTACTTCATACCTAAGGTACACGTAGTTTATGATACTGTACTGCGCCCTTTATGATGCTGTACTACGTCCTGAATTAGCGTGAATTGACGGAGCTTAAAGGGTTGAACCCTTCGGGTTCATTTCCCCCGTGTAGTATACTACGGGGATTACGAGACTAAATTGTTTGTATCGTGTAGACGTGTACGTACGTGTACGGATAATGGAACGAACGAATGAAGTACCTTCGTATTTATATTTCCGGAAGTACTTTCGTATTATTACAGTAATACCTTCGAAGGTACGTAGTACAACTACTGTATCATATCCGAGCGATGCTTCCGTAGATGCATACGGAAATTGCTTGACATAATTTTACGCACGCACGCGTGTTCAATAATAGTTTTAATATATAGTTCTAGATACTTTTGCGAGATATTGGTCACCACGCACTATGTCGAAAGCGCACCGGAACAGGAGGAGCAAAGGTCGAACACTATTCTTTTTACTATTGCTTTCGTGGAGTTCCCTTCTTTTGGTACGACGTGCCACGCCGTGAACACCTTGCAGTAGGCAACGGTAAACATGCCATCGAGGCCTCCTCGGCTGAGGTATATTATACTAGTGTTTACTGGAATGACTATGAGATTGTTCGGCGGTATATGAACCGCTTGGCCACTGGGGACGAAAGAGTCACTTGGCAAGACCACTTACTTCGTTTTAGGAATGGAAAGCCCTTCAAAAAAGCACTCATCTTGAGTTGTGGAAACGGTTGGGTCGAAGCGGAATTGTTCTCAAAAGGTGTTATCGAAAGTGCAGTTGGTGTAGATATAAATGCCGATCTTCTCACGCTCGCTCGACAGCGAACAGTACGAAGCAACCTGCCTTTTCGTTACTACCTTCTTGACTCGAATCAGGTGACCACGTTTCCAGAAAATGGATATGACGTTGTTATAAACCACGCTGCACTTCACCACGCTGCGTATATTGACCGTCAGGCCAGAGCAGTCTACCGCGTTCTCGTCGAAAATACTGGTATTCTAGTTAACTTTGATTATACGGGGCCTCACAGAAACCAATACGACGAAATCGAGTGGGACGCAATGATCAAACTAAACGAAAAGAGCCTTCCTAAATTTCGCAAGGAAAGGCTTCGGTATCCGCATCTGCCGACCATGCTTAAATTGGACCCTAGTGAGGCTATTCACAGTGAACTCATAATTCCAACGCTTAACCGATATTTTATGCCAATTTGGAATAGAAGTATTAACGGCGGCATAGCCTATGAGTTACTGACGCACAACAAGAACCTAGCGAAGTTCCGTGGCTTCGACGGGTCGAACTTGGACGCTGAACTGAAATTTCACTTTCATAATATTATTGCAGCGGACGAAAAACACGCGCACAGAAGACCAAACTCGAGCCTCTTCTGGTACTCGGTGATGCAACCGAAATTCAACTTGAGTGAAGGCCTACTTCTAAATTGGAGTGAAGAAGAACGGGTTCGAGAAGAAAAAGCTATGAATAACGGAGGAATTTACTACCCTGTCTCTTCTGTGGCTAAACGTTATCAACAAAACGCTCCGCGTTTGTTCGGTGGATAGCTGCGGTACGTCTTCACGCAAGTGTGCAGTCCACGGGGCGAATTAGCTATCTTATCGCTGCGTTTCCCAGCTCACACCCCGGACGTTGGTGAGCGTGCGTGAGACGGGAAGATCCGAAAGTGTTACACGGGAAGACTGAGTCAGCTGGCTGCGCGGAAGTTATTAGCCATAGTTACACATACAGCTACCTGGTACGAAAGTACTTTCGTACCTTCGTTCGTACGAAGGTACACAGCTACACACTACCTTCGAAGGTACCTTCGTACACAGCTACACACTACACAGGTACGAAAGTACTTTCGTACGAAAGTACGAAAGTACCTTCGAAGGTACACAGTAGACAGTACACACTACACAGCCTACACAGTACACACTACACACTACACAGCTACCTTCGTACACAGTACACACTACACAGCTACACACGTACGAAAGCACCTTCGTACGAAGGTACGAAAGTACACAGCAGGGGTAACTTACTAAAATTTCGACACTAAGTAAATACACGACTGCCGGAAAAAAAGGTAAATAAATAAATATTTCAAGGTACCGCAGTTTTAACTCACAATCGACGGTCTAATTTCGCTCGACCCGCAAAAGTCTTCGCCTTTCGAAAAACTAAGTAAACTTTTACTTAGGCCCTACTCATTATTTATTTACTATTAAAAGTACATAAACCCCTCGTACACATATCTACCTTCGAAGGTACTTTCGTACGAAATAAAGTACAGTACGAAAGTACTTTCGAAAGTACACGTACTTTCGAAAGTACTTTCGAAAGTACCTTCGTACACAGCTACACACTACACAGTACCGTGTCAGGTTCGCTCGTCAACTGCACCGAGCGAGATAAAGGCGTCGAGCCGCTTCTTGTGCATGTTGTTGCGTTCCTTGACGAAGGCGTTCCAGAAACCGGGCGGGCCGGGGGGAGACCCCCGACGCGGAAGTCGCAGGCCGTGTCGGGCTCCATGAAGAGGATTTGCGCTGCCGCGCCCGCGTGGAAGTTTTCAGAGTCGCGCGCGGTTCTGAGCGCGTACGAGATGGGCGCGCCAGCGATGCGGTCCCCGAGGTCGGAGACGAGCGCGACGGAGATGTGGCCCATGATGCGTCGTTTCCAGTAGCTTTTGCTCCTCGCGATGGCGGAGAGTGTGGCCTCGGCCGCAGCGTCGGAGGCGGAGTCGCCGGCGGGGACAGTTTGGCTCGCACCGTGCTCGGCGAGCTGGTTGAGGAACTTGCGGAAGCGCGGCGCCTTGAAACCGTACGTGTCGATGGCCATGGGCACGAGGCTGAGGCCGCGGCCCTCGGGGATGTTGCCGTTCCAGTCGAGCTTCTTCTTCTCCGCCTCGAGCGCGTACTCGCCCGGTTGGATGTTCGCTGGTGAGCGGGTCCCATCGGCGCGCTGGCCGTTGTATTTCGCGCGCCCGTCACCGGTAAACGGGTGGGGGACGACGACGTCACCGAGGATCCTGTTCACCGAGGCGTTAAGTCCCATGATGCTGATGTCGACGGTTTTCGCGCAGTCGTGCCGTCCGCCTCGCCCGGGGTTGGAAGGGAGGAGTCCCCGGAGGCCTTTCGTCTCGGCGGCGAGGCCGACGTCTTTACACAGCTGTGCGACGGCCCGCACCACGCGGTCGTGGGTGCGGACCCTGTTGCCGCCGGCGTTGCCTTCCTTGTGGTTGATGATGTGGTGGACGGCGTTGTGTGTGAACGTGGCGTGGCCGCACTCGGCGTGGTGGCACGCGAGCTTCTGGTCGACGAGGATCTTGATGGCAGCAGGGGTGAGGCCGAGCTCGAGGCGGACTTGGTTCCGCACGTGAGCGGTGGAGAGCTCCCCGGCCTTCGAGAAGGGGATCACCGTGTGCCACGCGGTCGCGCCTTCACCCCGGAGCGAGTTCATGGTTACCGCGACCTGGGCACAAACTTGCGGGCCCTACACGTGTACTCGTACACGTACAGGTACAGTACACGTACGTACAGTACGTGTAATCATGATCTCAGGAATTCTCAAAATAAACGCTTTAAGGTAGTCCTCTACGTAATTCGAAAAAAACCAGCAAAAAACGTACTCGTGACCAAATACACGTACAAAAGTGTACGCGCGAACACCCGCGCGCGAAACACTACTCCTTCCTCGAATGAGATCGCGACGATTTTTTCTTTGCACCATCTCGTTCCGGGCATCAACGCCGAACTTGCCAAGCCGGGGATTTCGCGTTCATGCTCTCTGCCGCGAGTGGGGTACGCGATCGTCGCGAAGCGCGATTTCGGGCAAGATCTGCGATTTCTTCGCGACGCGCGCGAAATTCGAAAAACCCCGGCTTGACATTGTGCGCATGCATTAGAACTGTCATCACGCAAAGTTTCGCGCGCAGACGTGCATCGCGCGCGGAGGAGTAGTGTTTCGCGCGCGGGTGCTCGCGCGTACACTTTTGTACGTGTTTTTAGTGACGAGTACGTTTTTTAGGTGGCTTTTTTCGAATTACGTACAGGACTACAGTACCTTAATAAACACAAGGGAGTGCCTGTGGCTACGCTCACAATTTAATAAGAATCGAATATTTTTTGGCGAATCAAATCACACTTTCTCAAATGTAAAGAAATTGGTATGACTAACTGTTTACTCATACGTGGTCTTTTATTTATTGATATTATAACTGTTTACGTACTGCAACGCGCGGTTGGGTTGTGACGGCTGCGCTCCGTTAGGGTTGATTTATATATATTTCGAGTTCTAAGCCAGAGCTTCTTTGTATACGATGTTTCTCGTGCGACGTGGACCGGGGCTCCGCCTCGGCTCGACACCGCGAGGCGGAGTGACCGGGCGACCTTGCATCGCCGCCCTCGCGTTCGCCTCGTCCTGTCTCAGCATCTCATCCGCCATCATCTCCGCGTAGCGGGGCCCCATCGTCTCCCGTTGCTCAGCCTCCCGCATCATCTCCTCCGCGTCGGGGTCCTCCTCGTAATCAGCGCGGTAGTCTGGCTCCTGCCGCAGCAAATCCCGGAGCTCCTCGTCGAAATCGTCGTCGGCTCCTCCAACCTCCCACGGGTCGAACCTCTGCCGACTGACATCGTCGCCACTCGACGGCTCCACCGTGGGCGAGGTGCTCGCGACCTCTGCCATCTGCGGGGGGTCGTGTGCGATGCAGAACCGGATGTTTCGCGGGTCCGTCACCCGCGAAGCAGCGACGTAGAGCTGTCCATGCCCGAAGACTGGCTCGGGCAGGAACACCCCGACGCGCCCCTTAAATGTCTGCCCTTGGCTCTTATTCACCGTCATGGCGAACGCAACCCGGACGGGGAACTGCACCCTCCTCAATCTGTAGTTGTAGTCCGTCTCCTTTGGCTCCAACGGGATCCGGGGGATAAGCACCTCGCGCTCCTCCAACTGCCCGGCGACCTCTACCTTGTGAGTCGCCTTCAGAATTTTGCCACCTGGCAAAATTTCAACGACCCTCAGCCGAGTCCCGTTGCATAACTTGTCAGCAGGGTTTAAGTTGCGCAGCAACATGATGGGCATACCCTTCTTCAGTTTGAGCTCGTGCGGCGGCATACCCGGCGGCGCCTGCTGGTTGAGGAACTCGACGGGGACGGCCACGCTTCTGTCCTCGCCGACCATGTAGTCTGCCGACTGCGCGCGGAACATCTCGCCGGGGAACATATCCCCCACCTCGTCGTTAATCTTGTTGGCGACACCATTTCTCGTGCAGAGGATGCCGCCTTGCTCGACGCCGTCGATCTGCCCCGCTCCAAGCCCGGGCCACACCCACTCGATCAGATCATTCGGGGTCTCACACACCATGTCCTCGGGCATTTCCACGACGCAGTTACCCTCGGTGTCGACGCCCACGTCCACCTCGCCGTTCCCGACGCGCATGAGCCACGCGCCGTAGGCCGCAGCCTTGACGGGGTCGGCTGCCGTCGCCAGGCGCATGTTTTCCGTCAGCTGCTTGACCTCGAACTTCGGCCACAGGACAGACACGCGCCTCGGCGCGTTCTCGCCGTTCAGTCGCGGTCCGGTTCCTCGAGGCGCGTAGTTCTCGCGCGCGATGCTCGCGATTGCGATGCTCGCGATAGCGCTGGCCCTCCAGCAGCCGATCCAATCGCTCTTGCACTGTGCGAGCCTCCAGGGCGAGATTCTCGTCAAGCGCGTCGAACTCCAGCTCCTGTCGCTCGCGAATCTGACGGGCTTCCAGCTCTCGTTGCGCGGCCTCCCCCTGTTTAAGGAGGCGGGCCTCCGACTCATGTCGCTCGCGAAGCTGCCGCGCGCGCAGCTCCTGCCGAGCCCGCGCGGCGTTCTCTCGGTTGTCTCGGAGAATCCGTTCCTCCTCTGCGGCACGCGCGACACGTGCCGCCTCCTCTTCCTTCTCCCGCCTCCTACGTTCCCGCGTACGCTTGGCCCTCTCCTTCTCCTCCTTGTTCTTCGCCGCGGCACGCCGCTCGCGCAGCTCCGCGTCGAGATCCTCCTGAGAGAACCGTACGCGCGTGCGTTCTACGACACGACGGGAACGACGACCTTCGTCATTTCCCCCGCGGTCATCATCTCGCGCGCGGCGTCCGCGCCCTTCGGGCGGCGTCCGCGCCCTTCGGGCGGCGCGGTTCCCTCGAACTCGTCGTCGAGAGGTCGCCTGGGAGGTCCCGAGGTGCGATCCGAACGTCGCATCCGGTCAAGTTCAACCTTGGCGCGCGCTTTGCACGCGTAAAGGCCGCGAATGCGCCCACCGCAATTCTGAGAAGCTCTGAGAGCGCAGGACCGATACCCGTTGGGATTTTGGCTTATTTCAAATGTTGATATTACGTGTGTACACGTACACGTGTAGTGTTGTAGAACTTTTTCACTACTACGAAAGTACTTTCGTACTACGCTAGCTTCGTACTGTACGTGTACGTGTACATCTGTACGTGTACAGTAGTCGTGTACTTCCGGAACCTCTATCAACAACACTCCTTCGTTCTCACTATAATATACCTAGAAAATGGTGATCGTAACATGAAAGCCTGAGTTTTGAACTCGCATATCAACAACGCTCCTTCACCCCGATGCGAGTTCATGGTTACCGCGACCTGGGCAGCGAACTCGCGGGCGTGTGGGTCCGCGGAGTGGTCTTCGCTGAGGCTCACGGCGGAGGCCTTCATTTGCTCGAACTTGCGCGCGTAGCACATCTGGGAGAGGAGGTGCTGGAGGCCTTTCGCGGTGCACGGTGCGGCGGCTGAGTCAGCAAACTCAGGGAGGATGTCGCGTTCGCGCCGCTTGTCTCCTTCAGCGCCGCGGGCGCGAACACGGTCCCAGACGGGCTCGATCATGTCGTTCATCGGGCCGTTGCCGTCCTCGGAGGGCGCGGCGATGCGCGCGAGCGCCGGGACGCGGCTCGCGAGGTAGGACGAGGTGTAGTGCCAGTTCGCGGCGAGCGCGTTGTCGGCGATCTCGCAGATGTCGGTGATGCCTTGGCCTCCAAAGCCGAGGGGGAGGGTGACATGTGCACGTACTACTTCAGTACGGACGGAACGAAGATGACGCAAGTACGTACCTAGCTACCTACGTACCTTCGGTACCACGTGTCCTACATGTTGATATGCGAGTTCAAAACTCAGGCTTTCATGTTACGGTCACCATATATTTCTAGGTATTACATATACTGAGACACCCCCTTGATCGGGACTTGGAAGGCAGATTACTTTTATTTATTTATCTCATTTTTCGAGAATTCTGCTCCTTGTGGGGCTCGAACCTAGGACCTTTTATTTTACGGTCAGGCGGGTTTACCCACTGGTGATTACACACTAAGCATTATTAGCCCACATATCTAACTGAGTTTTTGTTGATATGCGAGTTCAAAACTCAGGCTTTCATGTTACGATCACCATATATTTCTAGGTATATTGAGACTACATACCTTCGTACGAACGAAGGTACGTGTAGTCGTGTACGTGTACAGCTGTACACGTACACATTTCCGTATTCTATCATATCATAGTCTAATACCTTCGTATTCATACTTCCGGAAGTACGGAATAAGTACAACGGTGTACTTTCGTACCTTCGTACGAAAGTACTTTCGTACTTTCGTACTTTCGTACTTATTCGTACTTTCGTACAACGTACGAAAGTACTTTCGAAAGTACTTTCGTACGAAGGTACTTTCGAAAGTACCTCGAAAGTACACGTACTTTCGAAAGTACTTTCGTACGAAATAAAGTTCTACAACGTTGTACTAGTGGGTTTTAGTTGCGCCAAAATCGGGTCTAAAATCGGGTCTAAAATCGGGTCACCCACCCGATTTTAGACCCGATTTTGCGATTTTGCAACTAAACCCCCTTTTCGAAATTCGGGTCTAAAATCGGGTGGGTGA